GATGATGTTTATCGAGCCCGAGTCGCATTAGGGTGCTGATCCGTTTAAAATTTCACGACCGATGCTTATTTCTTTTTCCCCGCTCCCCGCCATCAATAACCTATCGGTTGGTATAATTGAGACCTCGGTGTTTACCAAATGTTGGCGCATCGACGGAGGGCGACGGATCTCAAACTTACAGGAGCAATCAAAAACTCGGTCATATTTAGTTTGGCATAAACTCGGGGAAGGTAATAGGGGGAAGGGATCGTGTATTTTTTCTCAAAACAAGCGTGCAACGACAACAGGCGCAAGCCAACAAAAACACGAGCTCGTTACGCCAAATAAAATCCAAAGTTGATCCATACAGGTTTCTCCGCGTTAGTCCAGCCCAAAACTTGGTCACCCCCTCCCAACCCAGGCCCTTTGCCGCATTTCGATTAATTTATTATTATCGGTGCTCCATGCGAGGGTTCACGGGAAAGTCGGTAGTTCCACCCGTACACCTTGTATACATAATACACCGACCCTCCTCCCCCGTATATATATATATATATACCGTTGTTTGTAAGCACTAAATTTATTATTTCGTGCAGGCATATACATATAGGTAAGTACATATCCACGCGAGTGTGATTTATCGGGAGAGCGTATATATATAAATGGGGGCTCGATTGACCGATCCCACATTACGTGTATACCAACGGATCCTCTACTCGCTCCACTTTCGTGCCGAAGAGATTTTTTCGTTCGATGGGCCGTGTGTTTTCCTTCTTGGTATATCGATGATTAATGCGTTGGGTGTTTTGCGCGAAAGCGTGCACGGGGCGAAGGGGGAATCGAATCATAATTATCGCGTTATTCGCGCGAAGCGTGGCTCATTGAAAAGCCATTAGGCACTTTGTTGATAAATACGCGCTTTTTCCACGCGTGTACGTTTATTCACGGGTCGTGGACTGATTTTACAATTGTTCAGCGGTAAATTGTATAATCCTTATAAACGTGTGTATTGGGTTGTACGCAGGGGGACGGGCCCAACGGCAGCTCAAACAACTCTCCTCCGACAAGGTGATATTACATCCGTACCCAGTGATGGTACATCCACAAACAGGACAAGTGACAGCACTGACCTGCAGGTATACCCCGAGAAATAGGCCAAACGCAATGTCTCCGTTCAAACGGAAAGCAGTTTATTTTAGAGCCCGCCCCATCAAAGTCGGGGAGGTCTTTTGCGAGAAAGGCCCATCGGGTGAAAACCATTAATCAGCCCGCATCGGGTTGTACACAGTGCAGCACACGAGCACGTGAAATAGTTTATAAGGCGCGGGGGGTTTTCGCTCGGCATCGACCCCCCGGTTGGCCTACTGCTCGACCTGGCGAACCGCGCGGGAGGAGGGGGTCGTGTACAGGTAGGTTGGTAGGTCGCCGTGAGCATTGGTGCAGGTGCGGGCCGTCCCCCCGTGTGTCCGTGTGCACATGGGGCTCCCATCGCGTGGGGGAGCTTGCACGCGATCGGCACAAAGAGAGAGAGAGAGAGTGTGTGGGTGCGCGCGCGCGCAGGTACACACAGGCATCAGGTGTAGGACCTACCGTATTCGTATAGACGTCGTCGAGCAGAGCGAGCGTCGCGCCGCAGACCGACTCGGACTACTGGAGCGCTCTCTCCTCCGTAGTAGTACAGCTCCGGCAGGGGTCAGCCGGCCGAGCGACCGTGTGCGCGAGATAGTGCGCAAAGTTTCACATACAAACGAAGCGCGAGTGCACGTGAAAGATTGTTGTGTGCCGTAAAAGTGTTACCTATACATATATATTATCAGAAGAGCTCCGATTGTCGTCTCCCCCCGCCCCGTGGGCACGTGTTGCGCGCCGCTCTGGCCGGGACCCACCCCAGGCCGGGGTGATGAGTGTCAAGGCCGCTTGCTGGGGCGCGACCCCGTGGATTCCCGTGTACCCGTCCGGGTGAGGCAGGACGCGCTGCAGGTATACATCATATTTTGGTATATGGTTTTTGGCCTCGTTTTCGGGAAACAAAGATAGGAAAGTACACGGCTCGGGTAATACCTCGGTGTACACGATGTAGTGGAAAATCGGTCGCCGTAACTTTGTTGTAATTTATTATGCAAACGCGTGAAATAACCAAACAGGCACGCAAAGAGAGGGAGAGTGAGGGGGATCACAACCCTCGTTTGTTCGGGGTCAAGATTAATCTCACCGATAAAAAGGACCTTATCTCGAGGAGGAAGCGAACCTTTTCGTTTTCCCTTTCTTTCCGCGACGCGCAGTAATAATCGGGCTCGATAAAACTTCCATTCCATCATCGTTATGGATTTCGAATCACGCCAGCCGAGTGCGGGCCGCCCGTGACCAGCCCGCGGTGCGTGTTACTCTCGTACACGTGTGTACGAGACCCCGTTGCTCCCTTGGTATCCAAGATCGGCCCGAAGGGTCCCTGGTAACACAACCTAGGGAAGCAAACACGGTTACATTACCGCGTCGAGGGGTAAATATTTAACGACACGGGCACTCGGAAACCGTTCGTCCCTTCGGTCGTGGTGGTACAATTTGTGGAAAATTATACGGCCTCTTTGGCAATCAAACGTTACAATTTTGTACGGCGCGTCGTCTGTTTGCCAAACTCGGCTAATGATGTGACGCGTCGTGGGTGTTGTCGCGCTCACGCACGCGTTGCAGAAAATAATATCAGTCCCCCGGCGGCTTATCGACTCGTGGGCTGACGGTCTGTTATTATTGCTACTCTAGTTTACAACTTGATGTATAATTCAACGGTGCCATTGGAATCCGCTCGCTGTGCCGCATCGGTACCGTTACGTTTTATCGCGGATCGCTGACGTGAGCGCAATTGTTTCTCGTTCTCTTTGATTTTTGAGGGATTTTACAAACGCGTAACGAGGTGCCGCGGATGGCCATGGCTTGTGCGTGTAAAATCGTTTTGGCTGGTAATTGAAAGTTTAAGAGCTGCCATGGTCAATCGGAAGTGGAACAATTCATACGAAGGTGGAGATAACGAAGCCGGCGAATAGTCGCGCCGGAAGAATTTCGATTGCGATTGAAATATTACGACGTGCGGTAGTATTATCTCATGACGAAATCGATCGGACTCACGCGGGTGATATAATTGTACGAAAGAGACCACTGGCTTCGTGCGTGATCGATACAATAAGTACATGGGACGCTATACAACCGCCGACGAGTGTAAGCTGGTTATTTTTACATTACAATCATTAATAATTCTAGTGCGTTTTTTTTTTCTTTTTAATTATTGAAAACAAAAGAAAAAGGAGACGCTTGAGCCTCAAGAGCAATAAAAGGTACACACACACACATCAGAATTAGATATGAGCAGCTAACCCATTTCTTTCATACAGTTGAACTATAGTTCAAGGTTAACTTTCTTGGCGCGTTTTACCTATGTATGAGATAAAAACCACGCAATCGTTGGCAGTGCGTGTAAGAATTCAAGCCGCGAGACCATAGTTTTTTTTTTTTTTACTACCATTAGAATGAAATTTCCATTTTTTATTGTTTTTTTTTTTTTTTTTTTTTTTTTTTTATCGGGTAAACGAAGGAGGTTGTATTGCGTGCATGTTTAATTAAAAAGTGCTTCATAGGGTGTGGGCTTCGAATAAAAAGAGTGCAAACATAGGTACTTACTTGCAATACGTTTTACCTCGACGTCCAAGCGGACGCGGAATCGAGAAGACAGGCTCCCCGGGGGAACGTGAATACCTTTGCCCTCGACTCGCGTGTTATTTTTACGTATTTACGGGGGGTCAACATCAAAGTGAATCAATCGAGCATCCCCGGTCCAGCGCTCCTCTCCAAACGTACCTCGCAAACAGCAAACACCGCCAAGGTTTGCCCGATATTTGCCAACTCCGAGTTCTTTAGAGGCTGGACACACCGGGCCGAGAGGACCAACAAATCCATCCACGGGGGGAACGTTTGCGCGTGAATTATTCCCTGTTGCTGTTCCCCGTTGTTTGGCCGATATGAAAAATTCAGTTTTCCACTCTGCTTGAAAGCTCTTGTTCACCTCTCGAAATCCGGGAGGTACAGGTTGAAAACAAAGGGGTGCCATTTTTTCTGTCTATCGTGTGGCTCGCGAGAATTCACTAGTTTCGAGTCCGATTTCACGGATTTCTTTATACTATATTTTTCATCACGATTATCGTTGATTCCATCGATATCGGGCATCGCATAAGTTACCTCGGGAGAATAACAATGGAGTATAAAAAACAAATGATTCGCGCCGATCGAATCGAAGAGTAGGTACAATGCTCGTTTGGCATGTTTGCCCGGAGGACTGTAAATTTAACGAGCGGCATTTGCAATTCATAAATTCAAATGGTAATCCTTGCACGAGGGCGGCTCGGCGAGTGGTGCCCTTGGAAGTAGAATTTCTTTTTTTTTTTTTTTTTTTCACACCAGTGTACCCAACAATCCTCGATGCGCTCTAAAAATAGCCATGAAAAAATTTACGTTTGCACCCACACGTGTGTGTCGCCTGTACTTACCTGCACCGACCGAAGTTTGACGCGAAAATTCCAAAGACACGCCAAGTTTATTTTTACCACTCCTTGGATAATAAAACCCCGTGCTATTGGCACTATTGGCTCGTTGGCCGATGGAAGGGTAAAAAAATGAATTCAAATTACTAGTGGGTCTGTCGATCCAGCGCTAAGCCGCACGCTATATATTTCTTCGATACGCGTTTACGAACGAGTGTTGACAGACGCGTTAGCGCGGATCACGCGCAGATAAGATATCTCGGCGAGCCGGGGCGCCAAGCAGTAGGCCGCTCATCCGATTAGTGATGCGTGGCATAACAACCTTACACAGCCGTGTTTAGACGAGCAGAGGTATATAACATGTAGGCGTTGGGTCTCTCTCTGTGTAAAGTAGAGGAGCCGCGGCGAAGGTCGAGCAGCGGACGGGGGTGGGCTGGTTACCGGCCATTGTGCGTAATCTTTGGACGTCTCGACGCGCGGGACATGGTCGCTGTGAGTCGGACGGCCAGGCGATGACGTTCCAGCTTCGCCGAGTCCCTTCAGCCTCCCCACGAGTCCTCGAGGACAGACCGTCGTCGTGTTTGACTGCCGTCGACCTGCCGAGGAAGGAGCCGCTGCTCCGAGGCCCCGGCAGGAGGGAGCATGAGAGACCGACCGAGGCAGTACCACAGCCCGCACCCCCAGCATCACGCCATGCCCCTCGAGGAGATCCAAGGACTCTTACCCCCACCGTCCTCCAAAACAGGTATGTCTACTCGCCTTTCTCACCCACCACCAACAATACGATTATTGATGATTTTTTTTTTTTTTTGGACAAACATCGAATGGTAATTGGAATAAAATTAAAGTATCGCCTTTTTATCAGTAATCGATTGATTCATTGCCAAGTGCCGCCCGCCACCATTGATGAAATTGTGCAGTTTTTAAATACATTCGTTACATTTTTCTTTCAACTTGGCAATGACGCGCAGTTTGTGAGTGGAAAAAAAATAAAAAAAAACAAAAAAACAAAAAAAAAACAATCAGTTTGAAAAGGCCGACGCAAGCGGGAGAGAGTTATTATTCTAATTGTGCATATATTTTAAGGCCTCGCGAAAAAAATTGTTATCGATTGTAAAAATAACTGCACAAAGGTCACTATTAACGACCCAGTTTGCGGTCGCCTCTATTATGCTTGTAAAAAAAAAAAAAAAAAAAAAAAAAAGTGGGCAATGTTGCCTCGGAAAATGTTTACACTATTATGCTCCAACTTGTGAGCAAAGAGAACTCCTCTCGTCGCGTGAATGCGCAGGTAACCGGGGCTCGCTCAACGTGACAATAACGCAGATCGGCTCGGCTGGCGGTGGCCATGGGCTGGGCAAGAGCGACCTCTTCCACCTGGACCCGGGGGTCGACGCAAGGCCAACTCCGTCGCCGCTCTCCGACACGACCACCCTGCCTTCGGACAACGTCGACACCTTCACCGGTACGCACACACACACACACACATGTACATTATACCAATGCCACTATAATTACGTTGCGTGTCTTAGGCAAGTAGACAAAAGTCCCTTCGCTTAGCTCTGATTTAGAAATAAATCATATATATACATTGTGCTGCGCTTCGCATTCTCTTTCCCAGCAGATACGCACTTTTTTTTCCTTCCGCCCTCTGTTCTTCCTGCTCTATGTACGCTGTTCCCCCTTCGCGAGAGAAAGGGCGCATTGATTGATTGACGCTCGTTTTTCGTTGCGTGTGGAAAGCTGGGAAACAAAACGTGTGCTACACGCGTACATTATCCCACATGAGGAGGGGGTGAACGAAGCTTGGCTTATTTTTAGAGAAACTGTATGCGCCACGAGAGGAGCTTTTGAAACTTAATTCGAGAGAGTGCTCTCCTTCTGCGTTCGCTGGAAGTTCGCACTCGTTTATTCGTACAGATTTCAATTAACTTTAATGATATTAAAACCGATAAACAGCCATCACCGCCGACCTTTTTGTCCGGTAATTGAGCCTCATCGTGTGTACATTAGAAAATTAATTTTTGTTTGCTCATTAATTCAACGCTTATAAAGTGTTTTTTTTTTTTTTTTTATTCCTGATCATGTGATGATGATGATACAAGTATAGTGACGATGACAAAACAGATGTGGGAGTTCGGACGTTTCTCTTTGTTCAATTGAATCAGTGATTAATCTAAATGATTACCCGATTGGTATCTGATTTTGGTGGAATTTACCGGATGGTACAAGGTCACGAAAATGGCATTGAAAACGTAGCGCTGATTGGTCGGTGAGTGAAAAAAATTCAATATCGATCGCCATAGGATGCAATTAAACGGCACCTTGCTTGATAACGTACATCTGGTGAATCGGTAAATACTCGATATAGGGCGGGTGGATGAGAAGTCGAGTGGCGGCACGTTCGTCCATTGTTATCGTCCCACGAGACGAGGGTCCATTGCTCGTTCTTAATTTGGGCTGACGCGCTCTCCCTTTATCTCGTCCACCTCGTAGGACCATCCACGTAATACTTGCGTGTAACAATGGCGGTGACGGTTGCTGGTTGTACTGTTATCGTTGGGTGTGATAATTTGGTTTTTTCGCTGCAGGAGTCGATCCGCGGTTGCAGCTCGGGGCGGTGTGCAACAACCGGAACACGTGGGAAGGCCGATACCGCGTGAAGGAACATCGGCGGGCTGGAAAGGCTACTTTTCAGGGCCAAGTGTACAACTTCCTGGAACGTCCCACGGGATGGAAATGCTTCCTCTACCACTTCTCGGTGTAAGTGCGGCTTTTTTGCTCAGTTGCATCAATCTCGTCGTTGACTTTGTTCGCCTTTGCACCTTGAATTTTACCGAGCGTTTTGTTTTATTCTGCGGCGTTTCTTGATAAAAACGAACGGGTCACGCGAGCGCCCGCCGATTATCCCCGCTAGTCCCAAAATTGCAATGTACTTTTAACTTTCGCGAAATTTGTCGTGCTGCATAATTTGGGTACAGTGGTAAGATTTATGTATTTTTAACTTTTCGCGTGACTGCGATCCATCTCATTTATTTCTACGGAGTATATTTTTGAAAACGAGCTTCGCGATCTTGTTTCGCCATCCAGTCGAGCATTGACTGGTGATAAATTATGGAGTGTAAATACACGGTGGGTGTGTGCATATGCAGGTGTACACTAGTTTGCGGAATTATGTAGGTCATCCGAGTGGGGGGAAAACAACATTTAACACACAATGTACTCTCTGTCTTTGTGGGGAAACGTAGACAGGGAAAAATCGTATGAAATGCCTTTTGTGAAAGATTTTTTTTTTTCTCTTCTTTTCGCTAAAAGCTTTCGCGCGATGAACGAGTGAATAAAAAATAAAAAAAATTCTATACATAACTTGCAAATGTACAAATGATATTCGATCGAGCGACGCTTGACACATAGTGTAAAATCATTACAATGGATGACATCTGACGTAATCTCAAATTTACCTTTTCAGGTTCATGGTGGTATTGGTAATGTATAAAACATTGTTGATTATTTGAAACTTTTTTTACGTATACAAAATATAATAATAATAATAATTATACGTTTGGGTCTTCGACACAAAGGTCTGCCTCATATTTAGTGTCTTATCAACTATAGATGAGTACAGCGAATTTGCGAATGAAACTTTGTTTTGGATGGTAAGTACGAGATCGGTAAAATACAAATGTCACACTGTCGAACTCGACTGTAGGCGTCCATCCGCAATTATCCTATAGCCCTATACAGAAATTAACCCATCTATTTTCTTATATACCTAGTGAGTTTGCACTCATTTTGATTTTGCTCACTGCATTTACCAATTTTATTGCGTTTCAGGAAATATGTCTGGTATTTTTTTTCGGCTTCGAGTACCTGGTGCGACTGTGGAGCGCGGGATGCAGGTCAAAGTACATGGGATGCTGCGGACGCATGCGGTTCATCCGCAAGCCGATTTGTATTATAGGTTCGTGACTTATTTGCCCACGCTTTCTTTCCTTTCCTTTTTTTTTTTTTTTTTTTTTTCTTCAACTCTCCAATGCCGGAAAGAACGATTGCTCGAGGAATGGAGCACTTTTTTCATACGCGCGGCATGAGTCGGTAAAAAATGTGTACCACTCCTCGACGAGTTTAACGAATCGGCTAATTTGAATACGGCACGCGATCCAATTGGCACTCGTGGCAACGTGACTCGTTACAAATCAACCATGCACATCTACTTACACCATCAGCACTGTTGTTTTTATTTTTTTTTTTTTTTGTTCTGCTCTTCTTTCTAATACATTGCGGGGCTTGTATCTGTGTAGGTGGGGTGAAAATATTGAAACATTTTTAATACACGAGGGGCCAATTGCTTTCAGATTTAATTGTCGTAGTGGCGTCGATGGTAGTTCTCTCGGTAGGCAGCAACGGGCAAGTTTTCGCCACTTCCGCCATTCGTGGCATCAGATTCTTGCAAATTCTGCGTATGCTCCACGTGGACCGGCAAGGTGGCACCTGGAGACTCCTCGGCTCCGTGGTATTCATACACCGGCAGGTAATCATCACTCATTGTTTTTCTTTCCAACGAAAAGAGCCACCGGTGAAAGTAATAGCACAGTCGGCAGCGATGAAAAATCCACGAGCCAACGGCACACGGAGATTCCGATCGGCGCGTTGAATCACGCTTGGCCGGTAAACGATTGCAGCCTTGACGGACGACCGGCAAATATAATTCACCCCCTTCCAATGCCACGGAGATAAGGGCCGAGATCCCCCCCCCCCGGCTGGTGGTGGAGATACGTACACCCGACCGGTATAGGGATGCGCGACACACATATGGGTACATGTATATATACCGCATACGTATACAACGTTGGTATAGTCGCGTGACGCGGCCGAGCTCCTGATTGCAGCTTTTCCGCGGATGTAATTGTCAAATCGATGAACGCGGAATAGCCGCACGTACGAGTGATGATGCGCAAAACACGCGATAACAATAACACACACACACACACAAGCGCGTAGCTTTGACCGTGCAAGGGTGAGACCTTGGGAAGGGGCGGGTGAGAACCAGCATGGTTAGCTCGACCGCGCGTGTGACTGCAGGATTGAAAAAAAAAAAAAAAGAAAAAAAACTGAGCGCCTCTCCCTTCTCGTGGTTGAGGCAACGACGCTGTATATATATATATATAAACACTCGACTGCCTGGTATACTTTGCATTGATTTGGCCCTGTCCTGAGGGGCAATTTTATTCCAGGAATTGATAACCACGCTGTACATAGGATTCCTCGGTCTCATATTTAGCTCGTACTTTGTGTACCTGGCCGAAAAGGACGTGCCGGGCCCCCACGGGAGAACCGACTTTGCCAGCTACGCGGACGCCCTGTGGTGGGGTGTGGTACGTATTCCTCTGTGATGAACCCGATCTTCCGAGCAGCAGTTGCGATTGCCCAAAGTAAAACAACTCGTTATATCGATCGTACCTACTTTGCAACACGATTCAATTGACTTTTTTTTTTTTTTTTTTTTTTTTTTTTGTCTTGTATTTTTTTTTTTTTTTTTTTTTTCAATTTGATTGATGACAATCATCGTTCGGACCTTGAAATAAAAATTTATGACCTTTCATGGTATTTAATGGCATTTTATTTTAATACTCGATTACTTTCATTTGCAACCGCAACTGGTTGTCAGCCACGGCACTTTATTTATGGTCAAACTAACCACGTTGGTAATTTTCTCTCTCTAGTTGAAAATATGAAATTAGTACGTTTGCACCCACGTTACTATCATATTTTTTTTTCTGATCACATCGGTAGCTTGTTGAGAGTTTGTACGATTACAAAGCTTTTTTTTATATGGTGTCCACCACTATGACGGTAAAATAAATTGCTGTACCCAACTCAAGTTCGAAGCCATGTATAATCGTAATGTATGTATAATGTATGTTTGTAGATAACAGTTACAACGATAGGATACGGTGACGCAGTGCCCCAAACGTGGATGGGGAAGATCGTGGCGTCCTGCTTCAGCGTCTTTGCCATATCCTTTTTCGCCCTTCCCGCTGTACGTCACCGACACCAGCGTTATTTTTTACAAATGATCGTGTCGTCGTGTCGCGTTGTGCAACTTATAATTTCGTTCCAGGGTATCCTGGGCTCGGGTTTTGCGCTAAAAGTGCAGCAGAAGCAGCGCCAGAAGCACTTCAATCGGCAGATCCCGGCCGCCGCGATGCTCATCCAGTGCCTCTGGAGGTGCCACGCAGCCGACAAGTCGACCAACAGCGTGGCCACGTGGAACATCTACGTCAAGGATCCGACTCCCACCACGACCCAGCCGACCACTCCCCTCGGCAAGGTAAGATCTACCGGCATCGACCATACCCACCCCCTTTGCATGCGACCGCTATACATACTCTGATGTTATATATTATACCGTGTGGTGTATATATTGATTTGTTTGGGTGTCCCAATTACTTACCCAAATGTTGTGTTAGTCGTTTACCCCTTCCTTACCCTACCTCCCATGTACTACATACATGTACATTGTTTATAGAAGATGGTTTATACTTGTACATAATATTTTGTACGTAAATGGTTTTTTTTTTTTTTTTTTTTACCTTTGGTTACCCAAGTATAATTTTAGAGTTTAATGGAGAAAACGATACGAAATTCAGAGGATATCAAATAATGTGAGCTAGCTTCAGGTGATCCTCTCTCTCTCTCTCTCTCTCTCTCTCTCTCTATGTGTGTATTGAATATACGTTACTTATGGGCATTGAATTTCAGTAAAAGCGTTGGCTCGGAGCCTTTTTAAAGTGTCACGTTTTAGCTTACCGAAAATTATTACGGAAAGGAGTCCGTTGTGACAATGGCTACGGAAAACTGATGGGAGCAGTTTAGTATACGGTATACTATGCCAACAAAATGAAGGCCTTATACTTTTTTTCTCATTACCTCGTCTATATTGATCGACTTTTTTCGACCACACTTTACGCTTAGTCATGCAATTTGCATACAATCTTAATCACGATATCGTAGATTAGTCAATTGAAAATTTTATTATTTTTTTATTTCAACACATTTTACTTGGATTTTACTAGCATGTAAAAAAGTTTTGTCATAAATTTTTTATCTCTACCATTTTCAACTCTTAATCATTTCAGGATTTTTCAAATCTTGTAGTTTCACGTGTGGTTGGTTTACTTTCAAGATTGAAAAATGCTTTTTTTTTCTTCAAAAGTTTTATACACCTGCTACTCCTCTAGCAAGACAAAAATGAAACAACTCACTTTATGGGTGCTATGTTTTTAAATTACATTTTTTAATTTCGTGATTCCCATAAAAATATTTTCATGAGGTTTAAAATGAAATATTACCTAACTTTAATTTTGTAACGCAGCTTAAAGCTTGGCTTTTCAATGAAATATACACATCGCGTACTGCAAAAAAAATTCTTCAAGATGAAAAATGCCACTGACGTAAATTTAAAATACAAAGAAATGCCAACGTTGGAAAAAGATAAAGAGGCGAAGAGAAAAACTGGGTGAGACTGGGAGCTGATGCTGCGAAGCTTTGCGGTTGTTGCACGTATCGTACTTGCATGTGTATATGCCTGATTGCTGCTGCTTGCGCGTTAGCGTAGAAAATAAATACGAGAAATGATAAAATATAATTACGAAGTATGAAATATATTTGTAGAGTATAAAAATAAAAATTATTAAAACGACGATTAGTTTTGCGAGCTTGCAATGCATAATTTACATTCTTCCTACCGATGTTGTCACGAGAATTCACTATTTATCCCTTTTCACTGAAAACTGCACGTTTCTAACTTGCAAAAGTATACAATTTTCTTTTGCTTTTGAGTCTTGGTAGTACTAGTTTCACGAATCACCTTGTAAATAGACGTGTTAAATATTTTTATTTAAAACTTCGTACTCAGCTTTTCAATACATGGAGGAAAAAGCTTTGAATTTTTTGTGCACGAGCTCACATAAAATATATTCGTACGTCAAACACAACGTAACTGTAGTATGCAAAATATACAGGCTCAACCTACCAATGTGCTTAATCCGATTTACAGTTCGAAGCGTGTGTTACACGCAGTCCATTAATTCTCTCGTAAATTCCAGACCGTGTAATAACTTCATATTAAAAATATTGATATTCAATTTTTTTTTTTTTTTTTAAATTAAAACGTCATAGATTACATCTTAAACTGTTAAACTTCGTAAGAAACATTGTACATCATAAACTACTTCTTGAATAATTTTTTGACACAACAGCATTGTCTTGGACGTTATCGCCTCATATCACATGCGCTGTAAAAAACCATTATAATACTATTAAATATGTGACGGACATCTTAACGATTAGTAAGTAGATATTTTTAGTGTTTAAAAATGATTTGAAAAGTGTGGATGTCTTCGCATTGTGGTTAGAGATTTTAACTTTTTAGGATTCAATCCATGCACATATAAAAATCAAGGTAAAATTTTGCTTTAAGCTTAAAAAATTATTTTTTATTAAAAATAAGAATTTCGTAATTTTCAACTAATGAAACTGAGTATTATAGGATGTAAAGTATACGCTATACATTTTAAAGGCTTATTACAATTTTAAAATTATTAAGTCTATTCGTAACGTTTTTTAATGAAGTAAAACATACAATTTTTCACATAAATATCCCAATAACAGTAATAACTCCAATACGGGCGGTTCTAAGACTAAACAAAATCAAACTTAAAAAAACAGACTTAGTTTGAAGTAATGTCTATAGTCCTATCAGACAGTCGTCGGACGTACTAAAAATACAGAATGCGCGGGTCCTTTTACGGAAGTATGGTATAAAAAGTTCGCAAATACTTAATCTGCATTACAAAGGGTCACGATNTTTGGAAAAAAAAAAAAAATAAATAAAAAAAAAAAAAAAAACTTTTTCTGATTGTACTAATGATGTTTTGCAGTGAAATAATTAATGGTCGCTTAATCACAGGGGTCACGAATTTTCCACCGTAACACGTTAATTTATTGAAAAATCGACGACTCATTACCCACCCGCAACGACGTGAATCGCCGAGTAACACGCTATAGCCGTAAAATCATGCGACGGGAATATATTTCTTCCTCAACTCCTAAAACTTTGAAAGCTAATGCATTATAAAAAATAAATGATGCTTGTTTCCATGATATTTCCAATTAGGAGAGAGGGAAAAGTAAAATAAAACGCGATGATAAACTGAAAAAGCAGGTGGAACGGATAACCGGCGGATGCGCTAGAGAAAGTGATATTTAGGGTAGTGCATGCTGTGTGTGTTGGCTTTTACGTAACGGGAATCGGGGGTTCAGTCTTTGATGGTCCAGGTGGCAAAAAAGGCGAGCGTCTTAAAGCGGCGCAAGTCGCGCAACCGCATGGACGTACCGCAGCTAGATCAGCCGCAGCAGCAACCATCCATCACCAGTCCGGAGCAACAACAGCACCAGCAACAGCATCTGCACCTCCAGCTGCACCAGCAGGGCCAGGGAGACGCGAAGTTCGACAACGAGGGTGACATTATATTCTACATGGAGGAGCCCAAGGCCTGCACGCCCAACCGAGTCAGAAGGGAGAATCGGTGAGTGTTTGCCCAAACTATTCAGCTCCGATGCCTTCTTAGATCGATTTTACACACAACGCGATTTCTTTTCTCCCCCCTCGCAACCCCAACTAATACCCCTACTGCAACCCCAACTGATGCCCCTACCCAGCGATTGAATTATTTCGACTTGTCATTAAACGAGCTTTTTCCGACAGCACCGACATTGCAATGACCTGATTTTTAAAACAAAAATTACCTTACGTCAATTACCAGCAGGGGGCGATGGTTACAGATATCACGATGAACTACCTGGAGGCTCATTCGTGCGGAGTCACTGTGTGAGAAACGATGTCGATGGCCACTTTTTCTGGACTATCGTATTCGATCCTACAAATTTTAACTAAGCAAAAAGGCTCTCGACTACGCCCAATACCCCATTTACTTTACTTCAGATTTCCTTGCCACGCTGTTGCCAATGTATACCTGGTGTTTTTTGCGTGATCGCCGCTGACTCTCAAGCTCGGACAGGTAGATAACAACGTCAATAGAGGCGGCCCACCCCGACGTAATAAAATCCATGTATACTTGCGTACGGCATATTATACGAGGGGGGCAGCCGATCCCAAAAAAGAAGCTTCACTCCGTCCGTATAGCCAAGCGACAATGTAAACGAAAACGTGTATTTTTAGCCGCATCCGTCCTCGTGGGCATATTTATACAGCCATTGTGGTTGTCGAATAAAAAAAAAGTACCGCGATGAGGAAGAATCCGAAGAAGCCACCCCCCCCCTCCCCTGTGTACTTTTGTTGCTCGCGGAATCAGTTTACCGTTTGTATAGTTTACTATTGCCACCGACGCTCGTATCCTCCTCGTTGACGATCGACATTCCGGGGTTTTCGTCTTTTTTTTTTTTTTTTTTTTTTTTTCTTCTACCAACCAGTCCAACGGAGGAAATTGTCTTCATCCCTTCTTTTACGGTCGAACCTTAGCATCTGATATTTATTGAATTTGGCATTGCACGTACATTACGAACCTCAATACGTTTAGCTCGGGACGCGCGCTTGCAATTTCAGAATTCAAGTGGCACCCTCTTCCCAATGGAGCTGTGCGTAAATTATTTACTTATAGATCCTGCTCGGAAATGTAAATTATTTTTCAATATTTCATCTGAATGTTTTCCAATTTTTGTGCCTGGAAAATTTTTGCAATTCAATTTTGCATGCACCTCATTCGCGCGGAATCGTTTTTATGAATTTCAAGGAGCCAGTCCAAAGGGTAATATTCTTAGCTTCTCCATTGCACCGACAACTTTTCCGTTGTTCAAACTGTCAATTTTCTGCAACATCATAGTAAGGGACCAACAGCGCCAGTGCTATTTTTTTTTTTTTTTTTTTTTTTTTTTCATGAAACAACATTAACAAATCATGGTAATTAATATGTACACATCTCTGATGATGTTTCTCTTCTAAATTGACTTGTATCCTTGAACTCTTATGGATTTTGAGTAAAAATGATTGGTTTAGAGGGCAGTGACAAACAATTTTAATGGCAATCAACATTTTTTGTACTGAATAATATTTGAGCACATATTAGTTTATACGAATATTTTTTCCACCTTAAAGAGTTCAAGAGATTTTAATGAAAAAAAAAAATATATATACATATATATTATTCATTTCAAATGATTCAGAAAAATCGATTCACAAACTTTTTTTATGATAACTTTTTTTTATTGTAACTTTAAAAGCATTGATTTCAACATTTTCATTTTACTTGATATTATTGGTCGTTACTTGATGAAGATCCATTTCAAGGTAAATTAAACAATAATGACTTGTTTGTAGTCATATTTACTAAATAAAGTGAATTTATTTACTAAATAAAGTGAAGATCGACTACAAACAAGTCATTATTATTTAATTTACCTTCATTTTACTTTACAGATATTAGATTAAATGGATTAAGTTTTTTTTTTTTTTTTTTTTTACGTAAATTTATTTCGATTCCGTATGCACGTAAAAAAGACCATCAGTTACACTTTGTTAACAATTTGTGAAAAAAGAGGGAGGGACCAGCGACAGCTAAACATATACGTATTGGATACTTTAAATTTCACAGGGGAAGCTTGTTCACTTCTCAAACTAGCTCCGTGACGGAAGCAGCCAGCGATGAGATCGACATCGACATCGACGAGCCCCAACGAGTGACTTCGTAAGTACAGACAAATGCGTTATTTCGATCGCCTGTTTGAAACTTGTTTAGATTAATTGTATGCAATCGAGCTTGAATTTATTTAAAAGTAAAAGTATGTGTCCTTCTGCACAACAATTTATTGTTTATTTATTTTTCATAGCATTTTGATGCCACCTTCAAAAGATTATTTCAATCATTCTTCGCGCTTTCATTTGGTTTCTTTGCATTTTTTGTACTATTAGTAATTTTTATTATGGCCAACAAATAAGAGCTTCAAATAAATCAAATGGATTAAGTCGTTTTATTGCAACAGTTTATTAAGTAATTCAGTAAAATTGAAATCCAAACTTGACGTAAATTCACTGAATCTTCTTATTGCATGTTAATTTATTTTGTAAGTGCATTAACGATTTTATACTCTTATAAGCTTGTATTTGTATGCTGCTGCTGTAAGTTAGAACTGAGGTTGATCCTAGTTCCAAGAAAATGTATACGAATGATTGTGTTGTTATGTTATTGGCCCTGCGCCAAGTGGCAGCAGGAAAAGGCATCTTAATTATCATCACATTTTGTCGCGATGATAGAGAGATTATGAGAAATTTGCATGACAGTTTTGCAATATAATTAACGAGCTTAATAAGTTGCACGTATTATTTCAAACAAATGTCTATATAATCGCAAGCATGATTATTTAATTGATCACATCCAGCAATAGCAAAAAATCATTGGTTGGATATCACAAGTAATTTTTTAGTTGAAGATTATTTAATTTTTTTTTTTTTTGTCAATAAAGCAACGATTTTCACTAATTTGCAGCAACATCGATCGATATTACAATGATTTTCTTTGTAGTTCAGTCTATATAACCGACACGTACAATAAATAATTTGTTACCATTTTTAGAGTAATANTATATATATATATCTATGTCATTTTCGGACTAAAAAAAGTAGTTTCCACACACATAGATAAGCACAAAGGTATTAGATACAGTCATGCACTTATTGTCTTTCACACCAGCAATCAACGTATATAGTTAATTACGTGAAATGATTTGTACTACGAATGATAACGTTTGTAACCATCTGAATTGCAATAAATGTGTTTTACAAGCATCTTTTAACTAATAAGGCATTAATGTTAGTACGTTGCTATACATTTATGAATAGTAAGAACAAAAAAAAAGTGATTAGTATCATGACATCGCTGTAGCATACAAGGACATGAATACAGAAAAATTTCATAAGTAATGCAAATATTTAATCAAACATGAAACGTTAGACTGACAGAGGCACACCGGAACGCGATAAGGGCCATTCGTAAGATCAAGTACTTCGTTGCTCGTCGCAAGTTTCAACAAGCACGCAAGCCCTATGATGTACGGGATGTCATTGAACAGTACAGCCAAGGGCATCTCAACATGATGGTGAGAATTAAAGTAAGTGAGATTAGCCTAAAATATTTCTTCGTTTCCTTATTTCACCAGGTCCCAAAGCCATGCCAGTTGAGATACTTGTCAGGTGTTCGTATATGTAAAACGATGCTTGTTTTCGACGATTATACAACGATATACGACTTTTTTACATTTCCATAACTCCATAATAATCATCATAAAGATCAGAATACCACCAAGTCTTTTTTCGACGGGATACCATTTCTGGGTATATGTTAGGATTTATTAAAAAAAAAAAAAAAAAAATTAGTGGGAGAGACTTTTGGTATAAAAGATTTTAATTACCCGTATGTACAATGTCGTAGCGCAACGCTCGTGTATAATCTACATCGACATTCCGGGGTTTTCGTCTTTTTTTTTTTTTTTTTTTTTTTTTTTTTTTTCTTCTACCAACCAGTCCAACGGAGGAAATTGTCTTCATCCCTTCTTTTACGGTCGAACCTTAGCATCTGATATTTATTGAATTTGGCATTGCACGTACATTACGAACCTCAATACGTTTAGCTCGGGACGCGCGCTTGCAATTTCAGAATTCAAGTGGCACCNAAAAAAAAAAAAAAAAATTAGTGGGAGAGACTTTTGGTATAAAAGATTTTAATTACCCGTATGTACAATGTCGTAGCGCAACGCTCGTGTATAATCTACGTAATGCTTAATAATAGCAGTTAAATAATATTTAAAACGTATAAATTCAATGGGTGTGAGCCCAAATAATATACAACCTAAAGAGTGTGGAAGCTGTAGAGGGCGGTTTACAAAGTAGCCAAGTGTTAAAGAGCAAAATGTAAAATACCTATTTATGCACGGATTTTAAGTGCAAGATATTCGCAAATGTAGGAACTGGCCGAGTCTATGATGAAAAATTGATTTTACATCTCTCTATTTTCAGGAGTTGCAGAGACGACTTGACCAAACTTTGGGTAAACCGGGCAGCTACCTTGCGGGCATTGATCGAGCAGGTAACATCAAGCCAATGACAATCGGCGCGCGTCTCTACAGGGTGGAGCAGCAGGTAAGTGCTCGCTTTTCCCCATATCACTTTAAATATATTCGATCTCCAAAAAATCACGTGATGGAAAAAATAAGAATATTTGTGTGTTACATCACCTGGAATCGAAATCCGACTTTCTGTGGGTATATAGTCTTAGTTTTTGGAGTGGCGTGACAAATCCGCTGTGCCCTTCAGCTCACCCATTATTTTCAGTTACATTGTGACAACAAAGGGATATTACAATTGTAAAATTATCGTCCATTTGAATGAAATTATTGTTCTACTTTTTCAGGTGTAACTCGGTTCAAAATAATAAGTTTGAAAAGCAATGAAAATATAGTTACCCGAAACAACCTGTTATTATAGCTATGGTGGATGAAAAATGTTGATTAGATCGCAAGTTACAGGCAACTTGAATTTGATTTAAGGACATGGTGATTTTATAAAGGGACCAAATAAAATACCTACATTATTCTTGTTTATTTCTAAACTTACAAAAAACTCGAATTTACCGCATGTTTTTACTATAATGGTGATTCAATTAAAAGTTATTTCAAGCTTTTTTGAGTTACTTTATCGTGATCTAAATAAAAACTAAAAGAGAGGGAATACAATTCCAGCAAAAAGGAAAATTTAAGTGTTTTTTTTTTTTTTTATCGTTTGTTACTTTTCTGGTCACGACGTACATCAAGATAAAAATTAAGGGTGTGCCATAGGTGTACCAAACAACGACTACCCACAGGAAATGATATTTGGAGTCTAGAGGGTGTGCCAGGCAAAAATCTTTGCTCCCCCCCCCCTTAACACTAAAAGCTTTATTAGCATATTACAAAACAAATTATACTGGACTCCTGGAAGAAAATTAAAAACGAGTACATGATTGTGTACTGTTCACTCAGATGGTGTATACCGTAAATCAAAGTAAAATGACATTTTGCATATACCGTGCACATTCCATGATAAAATAAAATGAAAATCTGTCGAGAGTTTTGTCGTGGAGCAGCAAGGTGGCACACGTACTTATTTATCGTAATTGTACCGTTGCAGTTGTCTGTCATGGAGAAGAAGTTGGATCAACTGATGTACGTGATGAATGCAGTTGCACACAAACAGCAGATACCACTGCGCACCATCGAGGACGAGATTTAGCGAGCGCCCGCGTGGAGTTTGGCGAGTCGCGTGCGTCATAGGTCCACGTAACTATTGCGGATTTCAGTGGGACGGATCGGTACTTAGTACGAGGTTACCCGAAAGCACACGGCATACAAGCGTATGGTCGACCTCGGCGTTGTGTATATACATTAGGACTTTGTAAAAAAGTTACGCACGAGTGTGCATGTGAGTAACAGTAACGAAAAGGTAACCAAGGGTCGTTCTTTCGCGCACGCAAACACATATCATACGAGCATGCTGCGGTGCTCTTTTTTACTCTACCTCAAATTGGTCTGTGGAACTTCTACAATCGCGCTATTTTACAACAGCAAGATATACATAATTTTGCGACTCGTTTTTTAAAAGTGCGCGAGTAATTATGCTGTTGTCTATGAAAATGAAAAAACTTATGAAGCGATGCGTAAAAATTTAACTTTGACCTCATACCCTATATGTGTAACTAAGTGATATGGTCTGTACATAATAATATTTATAGTGTTACGAAGGTGTATATAAACATGCACACGCACACGCATATCTGTATATACATATAATGAGCTCCATAATAAATATAGTAACATTGTTTCATTGAGTAGCTATGAGGAATATTGTATAAACATTTTTTTCATTTTCAGCACTAAAAATACATCAACAGGCTAAATTTTAGGATTTAACTAATAGCAGCGAATTCGAATAGTGTACCTACTTTGTAATAGACAATTATTAACAACTACTGTTTCGTTCATGTCCATTTAAATTTAATATATTTCATTCACAGACTATACTTAAAATAGAAACTCTGCTTTAGTATGTTAAAATATTTAAATATTTTTACCTTTCAACTTGGAAAGAGATTGTACGGTCTTGGACCATCACGTATAATGCGAATGTAAATACGTTATGTATTTATGTATTAGTGACGTACGTTGCCCTGCTGTACAATTTGTGTAGCTTTGAGTATTGGCAGCGTAAGTACTAGATCGAGGCGATGTACGTACAAACGTGTATTAATACTAACAAATCGTAGAGTGAAAGCTGCTTAATTTAGCAGTACTATTGAGTTGAAAAAAAAAAAAAAAAAATCTTTCCAAGTAAAGGGGATAACATGATTTTTTTATACGTAGCATAGTCGTGTACAAAGAAACTATTTTCACGCTTATAGTCATACTATTTTGTGAAAAACTGTTAAGAATTTAATGTTTATGATATTTTAAGAAAGAGTTCAAATGCTTTGTATAGTTAAGAAATCTTCGATTTTATAAAAAAAAAAAAAAAAAAAAAAAAAAAAAAAAAAAAAAAAAAAAAAAAAAAAAAA